GGTGGTGGTGTGTGTGTGTGTGTGTGTGGGGGGGGGGGGGTCCGATCGGTCCTGCCCAGGCTCAGAGGACAGACGAGCCCGTGACCTATATCCGCGGGGAGAGCAGAGTGACCCAGCTCCAGGCTGATGCTGGAAAACAAAACAAGAAAGCCTGGAGTGAGCAGCGAGGGTCTCCTCGACCAAACCCAGCCAAGGGCGAGTCCACGGGGCTATAGAATCCCCAGAAGGTCCATTTGCCCTGGGCTAGATTTGCCTCGGACTCTGCAAAGTTTCCTTCCCTGATCTGTCCCCAGGTGCCTACGCCTCTGCCGGCCATCCGTGGTCACTTTCCTTCCCGGGTCCCGCGGACGCTGCAAAGGCGTGTCTGCACTTGGGCTTTTCTTTCCCCAGGCCTCTGCTGGAAATTAAGCTAATTAAAAGGCCCCCAGCTCGAAAGCCCGGAGGGGGACTCAGGAGGGCCAGGCGCAAGTCTTCACACCAACACTTGGCTAAATCAGCGTTTCAAAGCGCATTAGCTTCCCAAATTCATTAACTAATTAGAAAAACAAACCATCCACATTGAACCTGCAAAGCTCCCGGGGGCTGGGGGGGGGGGGGATTCCAGCTTCCGAAAGGGAAAGGGAAAAGGCAACTTTCCTTGGGGGAGGGGCAGATATTTTCGAATCAACCTTCGGGAAACGAACGATTTGTTTGTTGGTTGGTTTTGGAAATAGCAACTGGTCTGTGCTACCTAACGCGAAGCTGAATTTCCTCTCGGTTTAGAGATTCCTCCCGGCAAAGCCAGAGAAGGTCAGAAATCGGGAAACGCCTGAGGAGTGGGAGAAAACATCTCTTTGATTGCTGTAGCCCCGTCAACCAAAAATGAGCATTTGCGCTCGTTACCCGCGCTACTTTTTGGCCTCGTTGGTTATTGATGGCTCTTCCGTGAATGAATGTGGCTATTAACTTTGTCAAGGGTTTATTTAGCCTCTTAATTTACAAGAAATATTTGCTTTTAAGCAGTTTTCCTTTTAAAAAAGCATCTTTGATGTAGAGCTCTGCGTCCTGGCCCTGTAGCTGTCTCCTGGTGTAGTTAGTGAAACAGGAGGAAATTGCAACCGCGCGGGTTTGAGGTTCCAAGGTGTATTTTTAAAATGCAGCTAAGTGGGGTTTTTTTTGAAACAAACCAAATAACGCTTTGTATTTATGTGGCATCGCGTTTCTGTTCGGGGAATGATTTATTTCAGGCGCACGTGGGTGAAAATGCAATGGATTCCCTCGGATCGCTCAGGGTATTTCTCGGGTAGGAATCAGTTCGGAAAACCAGCCCCCGACCCCTTTAAAAAATGCTCTGATGCTGACATCTGACAACCAGCCCCCACCACAAACCCAGAGGAAGGAATCGCTCCTCCACCGTGTCCGTGTGAACCGAGCAGGGGCGGAAACACCCGCAACTCGACAAATTACTGGCCTGATGGACCGAGGGAGACTTTTGTGGCGGGACAAAGGAAATGCGGCTTAACGAAAAGGGAGATCTGCATAAAGACAATGAGCCGGCGCTGGGGTCCGCCCAGCCCCTATTGTGCGGGCTGAAAGCTGGACACGTGTATGGGTATGTCTGGGGGGGCGGGGGGGAGACCACACGCCTGGCTGGCTGGGCGTCCTGTGTCAGCACCATGGACAGCTCCCCCTCCGTTGGCAGTCACTCCCTGGGCTTTGTTATGCTAAGCAGCACACCGGTGGCAACGGAGGGTCAACTGACGCCAGCCACTGCGCGGTGGGAAGCCAGCGCTCAGCCGGGCCCCCTTCCCTGAAGCCGCTAGATTAAAAGGTTGCAGCATCTCCGAAGTGCGGGGAGGTCCCGCGGCTCGGTGCGGAGGGGTGAGAGGGAGCGGTTTTCTTTCTGCCCAGGCGATCCGAGCCCGCCAAGTTCTCCTGAAGTTAGCCCGGCTCGCCCAGCCCCGAGATGCTGCTGGAAAGAGTCCGAGCTAGTTCCGAGAAGGCAGCTGAGATCTGCCCCTTCAGCCGGACCCCAGGTAAGAGTCTCTCTCTCTTTTTCTTCCCAATACTGGACAGCAGAAACATCCCACCCCCCCGCCTCGCGGCTGTTCAACTGTCCGTGACACTGGCGTGGTGGTCAGGAAATCCCACCCCACTCCGCCGTGAAATGGGTCAACTGGACGAGCAATGTCACCTTGTTCTCAAGAGGCGCTAGTTAAGATACATTGCAGAGGGGAGGTCTCCGTTTGAAATAACAGAGTGCTGGGGGCTGGGGGGGGGGAGAAACCCCTTTATATGCAACCAGGAAAGCAGGTGTTTGTAACATGTGGCTCGTAGATCTCTAGGGTGGCTACACCACACTGTCAGTGGCTTTCAGGGCTTGGGTCCCAGGCGCCTGGCTGCTTTAGGCTGGTAATATTTGGTGTGGCTTTTACATCATCAACTTGCAGGACCATTTGGCAGATTTTTCCTTGCCTAGAGCTGTGTTCTCAAGTGTTACCGTCCGAGGTGGGGAGGGAATAGATCCACTGCAGGCGGCATCTCCTGCTGGCTTTCTGCAAACAACGTTTAAAAAGGAAACAAAACGAAAAGAAAAGAAAATGTGTGCTGGGGAGGTGGAGGGGGGGAGCCTCGCTCGCTGTGTGGGGCTTCGCCCGCCACAGACGTTAGGAATGGCTAATGAGCGGTATTGTTAGGGGCTGTTCTGGACAGCTGTAGAGCGCGTGTCTGACCTGGGCTGTCCCAGCTCCTCCATCACTCACTGCTGTCATCTGCCAGAGACCCGCAGCCGCCCGCTCCTCCCCTAAGCCTCAGGCCCTTCTCCAGCCGGGCTCTTCCCCGGGGATGCACAGGTGAGCCACCTGTGCCCGCCGCTCTGGGGTGTCAGCGCGCTCAGAACATTGGTCCCAGCGCCTACCCCAAGCTGCGGGCAAGCCCGGCCTGGATGCTGCTCCATGCGGGGGCTATTCCCGGGGACACTTCCACTCCCACCTCCCCAGCCGGGATAGGCGAGAGCCCACCTCATTGCAGTGCGCGGGAGAGGTCTGAGATCCACTCACGTGGGAGCAGGATCGGGCCTGTCCACTCCAAAGTACAGCGCTGGCGAGAAAGAGCCACGTGTTAGGAAAAACTCGATTTATGAACACACCTCGCTTTGCTAACAGCTGTGACCCAGCTGATGCTGTTCATCAGGTGGCACCTCTGCCCCGGGATGACTCGAGTATCTATTAACTAGGAAGACAAAACCCCCATTCTTCTGGAGTGAGAGAAATCAGACCACATTTGCCTTTACATTAACTAGCCTGCCCGCTCTGAATAGGCAGCGCAGGGTTGGAGACACCGGATGCAGTGTATTATTATTCATATCTTAGCTGGGGGGAGAAGATCATAGACTAAGTAAGCAGCTAAAATGGTAAAACAAGCAGCTAAACTCCATCTAGTCGATCTCGCCTGTCCCCTCCTCACACATACCCCGCACACTCGCAGCCAATATGGCATTCAATCTATTTCACAGGCTTCCCTTGTGTATCGGTTCGGTTAAAAACGGTCTCGCCCTTTAATAAATACCCAGCCGAGCTCCGATGCGTCCCCGCTCCAGCCATGCCCCTTTACATGGATTATCACTCCCCAGGGCACCGAGACGGAAATCTAGCCGAACCCCGGCCTCTTAGCTCGTTAACAGGCGCATTGGGGCTGAGTTTTAACAAAAGGGTTTGGAGATTTGTTCGGGTCCGTTTCTATTGGAAGAAGGTTCCTCAATAGGAGAAGTGGAATTCGAAGGGAAATCTTGTCAGGCCTAAGGGTTGGTGTTTTTTTTAAATGTAGACACTTCAATCCAGCCCTGTCCCTGGACATGTTTGGACATAGCAAGAAGAAAACCTGCCTGACTGGAGCGTAAATAATCCAGGGAAATCCAGTTGATTTTTGCCGATTTCTCATCTGTTCATTTGGGTAATTAACTCTTAACCCCAGGGGAATCTCTCTAGTTTTGTAACCTTTTAAACTCCTTCTTCCACTGAGTCTAACGGGTATTTGAGTCCAAGTAGCCCGATAGCTGCAGTGTCCTTCCCGAAGAAGTTAGTGTACTCGCTAGCCTGGATGGCATGGGACTGAAAGGGAAGCGCGGGTGAAATCCAGCAGGAATGTCCATGTTTAAAAGGAGCGGACTAAGATCTCTATATTACTTTCGTTTCTGCTTTCAGGTAATATCCTTGGCTCTCTCCCGCCACCCTGGACTCTAGTCTGTTTCAGTAACGGGAAAAATAATCTGGAATTTTAATCCTAAAATATGTACTTCCTATACGATGCTTTGTTAATTAGGGGTGGGGGGGAGGGAAAATCACAGATGCACCGGAGAATGGAGATGTTAAGAAATCCATTGCTGCAAACATTCTTTGCGGGTGCTTTATTAACAGAGAAGCCCGTTTAGACGAGAAATAAAACGGGGGTTTCCTGTATCAACAGTGACAAATATTGTAGCGTTTCAGGGGTGCATCCAGAGTAAACCGCTAGCGGATTAAAATCGCATTGGCACTCCTTCCGAACAGCTTGCAACCTGCAAAACCACTCGATTGGGTTTGGTTATTTGGTGTAAATCAAGCGGACATGGCTGATCTAAAGCATTCATCGATGCCGTGTGATTGTGTGGGCGGGAGCCCAGTTCCTCGCAGAGCGGACAGTCGGTTACCCCCCTGGAAGAGCAAGGGAATTCCCGGGCTGGGGCTTTATCGGATGCTAGAAAATCAGAGATCCCGGGCAGAAAAACCCAGATCCTCCCCTTCCAGATGAATCCATAAACCAGGAGCACACGATGCCCCCCCTCCAGACAATTCCAGAGCCCTGCACTTGTGGGAGATGCTAGTGCAACGCCAGATCCTAACAACAAAAAGTACAGCCCTCATCCCTCCCAGGTAAACCCCACGCCTGCGAGCCAGAAAGCCCAACGAATACAGTTCCGGAGCCTGCAGTTAGCCGCAGGGGAAATGTTGCTAATGCAATACCCGATGGTCCAGACCTAAAAGTCTGTCCCTTCCAGCACAGCTAAACCCACATGCCTTGGCTCCAGGATGGTTAATATAATTCCAGACCACTCATCCCTAGTTTAGGCATGGAAAGAATAACAACGCACTCCTTTGTGAGGGTGTGAATTGGGCTTTAAGAAACTGGGTGGATGCAAAAGCAGATCACACCCACCCACCCCTTACCCCCGGCTCTTTGAGAAAAAGCTAAATTTATCTATTGCTATAGATTATACCACATGCCCTTTCTATCACTCCTCGGCCATACGTGTTTCGCGTTTGATACCATTAGTGTCGCCCGGCTCCCTCAGAGAAGGCGATCAATAGGACATAAAATTATTATTAAAGCTTAAAAGTTGGAAATAACATTGAAGCATCGCACACCTTTCACCAAAATGCGTTTCATATCCTCGGAAAATGCAGGCAAATGGGGCATTGATTTTGAATTCATCTGCAGGGTACAGCAGGAGCACTACTCTTGATTTCCCCAGACACCTTTTGCCTCTAAAGATCAGTGTCAATAAAATTTATCAGGGTGTTGCCGCACTTAACATTTTATTGAGCTGCCGAGCTCGCCCAAAGTAAACAGTTGTCTTAAAAAAAAAGAGTGGGGGCCACTGGACACCCTTATTAGAAAGGCTTCCTCTGTTCCCCACGCCAGGGCAATGTTAGACTGGCTTGGCCAAGTCCTGGGCTCCTGTGACACGGTGGGAAGTGGGAGGAGAAAGGGACAGGTTTCTCTAGCAATTCTGCCTACAGCTGCTCCCAAAAGTCCAAGCGTGGCGGGCCACGTTGCAAGCCCAGAGTCAAGGGAGCTGGTCCATGCAACTCCCGAAGAGCTTGGTTTGCCGCGGAGCCAATGGGAGCCTTTCCATGGGGTTTTGGATGAGGTTCCGAATGAAAGGGCTCCGCTTTAAAGGGGGGAATCGAATTTTTCGGGGAGTAAGGGGGAAATAGATGCATAGAAATAATTATAAAAATCAGATTCCTATGGACTCAACTCCCCCCATCCCCACTTGTCCCTCTGAGACCAACGTGGTCCGAAAGAAGAGGCGAGTTAATCCTCCCAGTAGGAAGTTCCTATGAATTAACGATCTGGCCCATTACTTTCAACCTTGGGACTGGTTTTGGTTTTTCCCCCGCCCCCGCCTTGCCTTCCTGGGCAAAACCCTCTTCCTTAAAAAGCGAGGTTGTTTCACAGCTAGGAAGGGCGGCGGGATGCTCGCGGAGAAGAAGCTTGGGCGATATTTTGGCATTATTGAGGGCAGCCCCTTTACATCCCGGCCCTGCCCTGGGTCCTAGGACTGATGCGCAGGGTCAAGCCCAGTTTGGAGGGCGTGTGGACCTGGTTTTCCTACCCGCTGCCTGACAGCGAAGAGCGCAGGAGCCCATGTGCTCCAGCCAGCGAGGGCTGAGCCGAAGCGCCTGTGCGCTGAGCTGGGGTATCCTCCTTCCTGGGGGAGACGTGAGCTTTCCGAGCGGCCAAGGAGACATTTAGCTCTTCCCCCCACCCCATCAAACAATGCGGTTTCCTTTGCGGGTGACTGTAGAAATATCTTCCACGTGGGACAGGAGAGGAACTCAGGGGAATGTCACTAGGGTATTTGCTAAATGAGCGGGGGGGGGGGGTAAATAAATACAAAAGCAACGCTTAATTTGATACTTCCAGATTCGATGGGACCCCCCGCCCCCAAATCCCAGCTTCACCTGGGAAGTAGGCCCCGGCCTTTGCGTTCGCTGTTTATTCGGTAAGGAAAGGGATGGCTGTTGTGCTAACAAACTGCAGGCGGCTGTAAATTGCTTTCTGAAAAACGGAATCGACTAATCTCAGCGCTGCTTCCCCTTTCTCCATTTGCTCCCCACTTCCTGCTTACGCCTGGCCTCCCTCTGCCCGCAAACCCACTGAGACAACCACAGGGCCCAGCAAAGCGAGCGTCGGATAAAACAATCACTGGGAAGCCCCATTGAAGTATTTTCAACGACGATCAGGCCGTATGCATTATTTCCCCCCTGCACAC